TTTTTTTTTTTTTTCAGTTCACATGGAACCCTTAGAAGATTTCCTTAAATCTATCTTTGATCAAATTTGAAAATTTAGTCTTAAATTATATCAATATGCATAGCAATGTCGTTTTAAATCACTTTGTGTAAAATTGCTTTCTTATTTGACCATTTCTAATACTGGAGTCATTGTTCTAAAAGGGCTTTATCTTTTAAAAAACAATCATGTTCAGAAAAAATAATAATTTTTTAATAAACACACTACTTTATATTTCATAACATGTTTTAATTATAGATTTTTATTGTTTAAGGTGTAAAGATGGTTTGAAAGGATTTGCATTCTCTGCACTTAGGTAAGTAATATATTTTATTTGCTTTTATTTGAGAGAATTTGCAAATTAAGTTCTTCTTAAAAGTAGTATCATTGTAATAAATTACAATAAATACTTGCTGGCTCAATTTTTAAACAAAGTATTTTGTAAGTCACAAAGGTGATTATGGATCCTTAATTAAGAGAGTGACTTATTTTATTCTCTCCACTACCCAAAAAGTCAGTCAGTCAGTAACTACTTTGAGAGCATATTGTTTGCTTATACTATGTGAATATTTATGTGAATACTATGCACATATGTAAGTGCATATTTATAACTTTGGAGTTATAAGTGCATATTTATAGCACTCCACATGAACAATTACTAAAAATTTAAGTACTCAAATATGTGGTACCAGATTGTGTGCTTTATGGACAAATGGATAGGACTAATGCATTGTCAAACACATTTTGTATTATAAGTGTCTGAAATGTCTAACCTCAGAACCCATTTCTTAACACAGTAGTTGTTATGAGGTAGATACTATAGACATCTACATGGTCACCATTAGCATTAATATTTTTTCTTTAATGATCCACCAAATATTTTTATATAGATTAGAAAATTAAAACTAACAACAGTTCTATAAGATGGATTTTTTATGCCCATATCACTTGATGAAAAACCAAGATTTTGAATGTTTGATTATTTTAACACCACACAGTAACTACTCAAAACCTAATGCTATTCCATTTTATGTCACAAATATTGCCAGTTTTATTCTCCAAAGTACATACATTTGGTAGGTGTGTTGTGAAGATTAGTAGTGTGGCCTTTACTGCAAGTGCAGTAAGAAAAAATTATGGCAGGTTTTGACACCAAGGACACTAAGCTGTTATATGACTTACATGATTATTTTTGAGAATCAAATGAATTATTGTATGAGCATTGTTTAGAATTATGTGTAACAGAGTGTGCTCAAGAAAATGCTGACTATAGTAATAGCTAAGTTATATGAAGAATAACTTCAGATAACTGTTGAGGGGACAGGAGAGCTTTCTGAATGGAAATCAATGTTAGCAAAAGTGTAATAGTTATAAACATGATATGTATTTTAAAAGTGGGACAGCCAACTTAATTATTTTGAAAATTATTTGGAAATTTAAGTTTTTTTTTATGATAAGTAGAATATAAATTATGCAGGCCTAGGGAAAAGTGAAAAATTTGAATTTGGTAAAATGGGCACTAAGGAAAGAGTCACTTAAAGGTTTTGATCAAGGTATTTGATAGTGTTTCAGAAAGACTAGTCCTGCTATGCATTTAAGACATTGAAAAAAAGAGAATTTGAAAGACAAAGATGAAATAAAGACTGGAAATTGGGTGATAGTTGAGGACTAAAGAGAATAGGCAGAGTTGAAACTTGCAATGTAAGAAAATGAAAACCTAAGTTTTGTTCTTTCTATTCTATTCTTCAATACTAGCTAAATAGTAAAATCCTGAATGCCTGAAAAAGGGTACAGATAGCAGAAAGTCAAAAGACTTGCAAGGAAGCAGGTTTGGGTGGTAACAGATTGAGTTTTTATCTTTGGTTGTGCAAACTCTAGGGTAACAGTAAGTCATAATGCAGAGCAGTAATGTCTTCATATTATATATTTTTTGTTGATCATTAAATGTATTAGAAAATAAGTTTTGTTGCTTTTGGCATTAGCTATAAAGGATTCTGTTAAACTAAAAGATGACAACAAAACCAGAAATTTAGTTTTCCTAGAGAGAAAATTTTGCCTTTTAAATGATAACTCACCATATACTACCATTTACAAAGACCCAAAATGTGCAAGATATTTTTGACTTTTCTTCACATCCACTTAAAATAAAAGGTTAGTTTGGACTATTTGCACTTAAAATTTTCTCTGTATTATAGGCAAATACTCTGGGAAAATGGTTATTAAGTCTGCAGTCTATATAGATAATAGTAAAAGTTGTGGGAAAAGATAGAGTTAAGGTCAGAGCTTTGGGGGAAAGTGTCAGTGCAAGAGTCTGAAGGTTTATCAGGTCTAATTCATCTTAGTTTAAAGTTTACAAGCATTCATAGCTTGGTGATTAGAAACCCATACTTTACAGTCAATTCTGAGTCCAGATAATTACTGATACATTGACTTATAGACTAGATGTTTTTTCATGCTTTTATGAAATTAGAGTACATACTTCTGTAGTGTTGCAGTGAGGTAATCCTCACTGGTTTACTATGTGTAAAATGCTGGGTACTGTATTTGTCATGTAGTAAACACTTAGAAAATGCTTGTTATTCCCATATTCACTCATTCATTATGTGTCAATAATTTTTATGTACCAGTTACTAAGTTAGGGACTGGAATATAACAGCAAAAAAAAAAGTACATAGTCTCACAGACCACACAGCTTAGTGGGGGATATAAACTATTCAAAATGTACTTCTAGTACTTGGTAGGGAGTTTGGGGACCGGGGGAGGTAGGGGGCCTGGGAGGTGGGGGAGAAGAGTTCCACTAGATGCTGAGAGCCCAAAGGAAGTACTTCAGTTTGAGGCAGAAGCAGCAGTTTCTAGGGGAGTGACCTCTAATTTTTTTTTTTTTTTTTGGAGTGACCTCTAATTTAAAAGGCTAGTCTTGGCCAAAATAGCAGTAGTATTATGAAAAATGTGAGAGATGTTATTATATCTGCTCTAGCTTGTTATTTATAAAGGGCAGTGGTCAGATCTTAAACTTTCTGTGTGCATCCACATTTAAAAACCAGATTCTTTTAGACTAGCTGTTACCAAGGATGCACAGCTGCCATCTGGTGACAGACAATTTCATTGCATACCACTTAGGATTTGACAAACTACTAAATTATTTAATAAGGTTGTCTGGATGGGTTGTAGTCGTAGATAATTAACAGCTTTTTCTTTCTCTCTTCTATAAGTGGCTAAATTTTCTTACTGTCTTTCATAGGTCCCATATTCTAGAATTTTAGTGTTCTGAACCCTTGTTTTGTCTGTTTTTTTTTTCCTGAAAATTCAGTAGTTGGAGTTCCCTTAGGAGAACTTACTTATAAGAAAACTTAGTTACAAGATTATAAAAGCAAATACTAGATTAAAGGAGCACACAACAAAAAGGAAAGCTCTGATAAAGGATACTGATTGTCTAAGGGTACTAACATTTTCTTTGCAAAAATATAGTGCAGTCTTCATGAGATAAAAAATAATGTCTACCTGGATATTAAATTTTTCCCAAGAGAAATATGTAGATTGGAATATGAGGATACATGAAATTGTGATCCTTTTCAGATTCTCATTCTTCATTTCCCTTTGTGTATATAGATGACCTTCTAATGCACTGCAGCTGTTTTATGACTCAAAGTCACATTATAAATGAATTTAGAGTAAAAAATGAGGTTACATTCAATTGTAGCTATTAGTAGATTTTAGAGAAAAAGTAGAATTTTTGTCATAAAATGGTAGACTCAGCTTAATAGTTTATCTACTTCTTTGTTTGAAAAACATTACATAATACATTCGAAAAGTTGTAGCCTAAGTTTTTTAAAAGGATGTAATATTAAAAGTGCTATGCGATATTTCACTTGACTGATTTGATATTAAAATACTTACATATCAAACAAATGACCTTTAATATTTTCTGGTTATTCAAATTTTAAAAGCTTAGTTTTTAAAAGGACTATTAGATTTTATATAAATTGTGAGAAATATCTCAAATAATAAGACACTCTGCAGAATGTGTTTGTACATAAACAAATTCTGATTTTTTTTCCCCTCTCACTGAATTTTTAAGGTGAAAATGCCAATGTCTCACATTATCTTTTCTTTAGGTTCATTGTAGGGAAGGAAGAAATTCCCACACATTCTTATTCACCAGAGGCAGCATATGCAAAAGTGGAACAAAAGACAGAGAAACATGAGGAAAAACCAAGAAGAATGAATATAATTGCTCTGGTCAGGAAACTTGTGGATTCAATGTGAGTTCTTTATCTTAATATTTTAGCACACTTTGTTGCTGTTTTTTATATATTTGTACTGTGCCAACCTGTGTTTATTTTCTTTTTAGGTAATGGTGATGTTTTTCAAAATTGTAAACTGTGCAGTTTTATAAAAAAGGCACATAATAACAAGTGAATGTTATTATTTCTGGCACAGTTTCACCATCATATACTTTTAAAGGATATTTTAATTAAATTTAAATACTTTTAATCTTAAACTAGGCAGAACTATAGAGGCAAGTATAGGTTATTTCAGTAAACAGATTAATATGTGCTATTTGAATGTGCCAACTAGAGGAGAAAGGCAAGTTTTGAGAGATATTCAAGAAGATTAAAGAAAAATAAGGAACAGATCTTAAGGAAAGGATCTTTTGCAAAGTGGAAATCTTGAGGGCTTCGGAAATAGCATAAGAAATATGTATTTGTATATTATGCAAAGAAGTCTGTATTTTATATAAATCATCATTTGCAAATTTCAGATGTATCTGCTGAAGAAAATAAAATTTATGGTTTCAAATTAGTAAAATAATATAAAAATGATCTTAGTTGGGATATTTTAAAGTGTGAAATGAGGAGGGGTTATAGAAAGTTCGGGGATCAGTTATGGGACACGGAGCCCTTAAAGAAATCATAAGACCTTTGAATCACACATTGTATGATGTTATGCTGCATAACAAAGCTCTCATTGGTAAACTGAGTTTAATAATCTCTGTTAAGGAGTATTTTGTGTGTTAAATGATATTAATTGGCTCTCATACATGAGTATAGCATAAGGTACTCAGTATTTTCACTGCATTTAAGGATTTTGTCTTCCTCTTAGGATACACCCCATATAAAAGATAAGCAGGAGGAAAGAAATACTAGTTGACAGGAATAATTGTGATAGTAAGTAAAGCAAGTTCAAAATACTTATGGTTGCCTTGGGTGAGAACATTCCCATTAGTGGCAATAATGTCAACAAGCATGTATTATGTGTGTGAATGATGCCTCAGGTATTGGAACTGATCGGGTCATGGCAGAGCTTGTCAGAGTAGTCTCAGTCCTCTGGTGTGAGAGCAGGACAATATAGAAGCATAGCAGATAACAAAGGAAGTATACAGTCCAGGATTTGGAAGCTATTTTAATGAAAGATAATGAGAGATTCAGTGGTAGTATAATTGATACCAGAATTTCACTGCCCTTGCAAAGAGATTTTAAAATTTCTGTGTAGTTCTGGTAGCAATGGCTGAGAAATGTCTTACACAAGTATACTTAGAATTACAAAGAGTTATAGGCCTAAGGCAGTCCTCTTGATTTGCCTTTCCAGGCCCCAGCTGTAATCACTCAACAACTTCAAATGACCAGATATGTCGTATCATTCTAATGGCGTAAGAGCTGTGATCAGTATGAACTGCTGTTGCCACCCCTGATTGGGGGGGGAGGGGAGGGGTGTGTGGGGAGGGGGCTGCCTGTGTACTCCAGCTGCAGTGCAGAATTGGATTTCGGAAAAGGCCTTGTAATCAATTTGTGAATGAAATAAGAGAGATGTGGGACCATAATATCATTCTACAAGTTACCAATTTAAACAGAAAAGTGTTCTGGTGCTCCAACTCTGAAGATAATTAATTTAATTAACTGTAGTCTGAAAGAGTTATTATAAAGACTACTTATTTTGCACCTGAACCTTTCAAAGAGAATGGAAAAGAGATAAACCCATGTTAGTATATACTACTAATTATTTTAATGCCAAGAGTGAATAAATAGTTTGTAAGTTGGTATACCAAATGATTTTTATAAGTATCTTGAATAGCACTCCTCAGAAGAAATGTTTCTTAAACACTAGAGGACTAAGTGGCTTACAGTTAAAATCACAAATAATCTACTTTTGAATTCCCACATACCTATTTCTATATTTATTTAAAAACTGAATTTTGAATTCTAATATTGTATCATGTTTCTTTTCCAGATGCTTTCTCTCAAATATAATTAAGTATAAATTCCTGTAACCTGAGCACATTCTCATTATGAATTTTGCTCAGGCACTGAATTCATGGATGATTTATGAGCGCTATACTCTACAATAAGTGATTTAAAGTTTCCAAAAGATTGGCAGAATATAGGGACAGTATATGCATTGTATTTCATATCAAGTCATAAATATTTATCAGTATGGTTTGTCAAATAGTGAACAGCAAAGAAAAAGTAAAACACATATAGTCTTTGCTTCCCTATGTCGTAAGAAATCAAAAGGTGCACATGTTTAGTAACATATTTTGTGTGATGTGATTTCCTTTTTTGGCTAGAGAGTTTTCAACAAATCTACCCTCCCCCTGCTCCCCCCCCCCCAACACAGATCCATCCATATTTTAGAGTTTTTGGTTTAATTTCAGATGTAAACATGGACCAAGGCATAGATGTTGCAAACACTATGAAGATAATTGCATCTCTTACTGCATTAAAGTAAGTATGCAAAAATATCTATTTTACTAACTGTGGGGAATATGTATAGAAATAACTTATTAAAATTATTTTAACTTTAATGAAAAAGTTGACAATATTTGCTATCATTCTTTGCATTTTGACTTGAAGAAAAAGAAATTTGTGAAACATAGGTAAAAATTTTAACTTTTGGGCCCTCCCTGGTGGCACAGCAGGTTAAGGCACAGCACTGAGAAGCTAAAGCCACTTCAGCATGAGTTTGTTCCCCACCCCGGGGGTGACCCACATGGCACAGCAGACATCTCCTGACCCACTGCTGCTCGCCTCAGCAGTGTACTTTGTCAGTTGGATTGTTCTGCTCCCCACTCTGTGTCTGATGAATCCTCTCACCACCCCCGCACCTCTGGCCTGTACCCTGGTTCTGCATGCATAAATAAATAAATCTTTTTAAAAAATGTTTTTTAACTTTTAATATTCTCTTACCAGGTTCTTAGACAACTTGAAAATTAACTTTTTTAACAATTAGTATATATCTTAAGAGATCAAGGAAAAATAAACTAACATAACAACGAAAGAAACATTGTCATTAAAATGTGCACTTGGTAATAACTACACTCTAGAACACAGCCTCTGGACTGGACTAGGGCTACTGTGTGGTACACATACCCTGCACATTCTTTGCGCAGTGGCATCTGGGTTTGGGCTTGTAAAGTGGTTAAATTGTTTAAGACATTGAGATTACTGGAACATATCCATGATTGTTCTATATTAAGAAAATTAGATAATGTTCATCAGCATGAATCCCTCACTTCCTCATAAAGTATATTGCTCCTACTTACCCCCCCCCCCGCATGCTTATCATCTGCCCATCTTCTGGACCCATCAACTCTGAGAAGAAAGTTATTTTTATTGCAGTTAGCCTGACACAGATGGCACCACCTGCTACAAATTATTTACTTTTAGATGGTGCTTGAGCAATTCTAATGCTCTAAGTCTGAATTCTTTCTTGCAATGACTGTTCCCTGCTCCGTTGATGAGAAGAGCAGAGATGTACATCATCCAAAGACAGCTTGCTGACAGTCCTTGGAAAGAGAAGGATGTGTCACTGTAGTGCTAATGAGTGTGAGTGACCATGGCCATTGTAATGGTGACCTGCCCAAGCCAGCATTTACCCTCAGAATCCCCATGGGTATAAACAGAGATAAAAGCAAGAGTGTTTTTTTTTTTTTTTTTCACTTGTGCAGTGGTTTCTGATACTCTCTTTCCAAATTTTGATTTCTTCCCCACTTTTAAAGTGGCAAACAAAAGAAAGTGCAGTATAGTTGCTGATAGTCAGGATTTGTGGGTTAGTGAAAAGTTATCACTCCTTCCAATGGAATAGAATTTTAGTCTAAAGAGAGACTTTAGTCTCTGGGAGCTTAAAAAAAAACATACTTGGACTAAATTAGAGGCATATAAGAAATTCTGGGAGAGAGAGGTGATAAGGAAAAAAAAATAGGAGAAAGATAGTGAGAATTACTAAAAGGTGAAAAAATCTAGTCATTCGTTCAAATGTGTAGCAGTACTATAAACTTGGTAATTTATGTATAAATTAGAGACCTGTGTGTGAGGAATTTATACCAAAATATAGTAAAACAGCACTTCACTACCCCATGGGTAGAGCCCCATTATGAAAGCCCTGAGTAAATTTTCATATCAGTTTTACTCCCTTCTATTCTCCAATCACACTAACTTTTCCTTGGCTTCTTGTACATGATATTTTTTTTTTTCACATTCTGATCTCTGTCCAAGCTATTTAAAATGTTTTTCTCATGCTAACTAACTTCTTCTCTTTTGTGTGTATTTAAAAGACACATCTTCAGTGGTCTTCCTTTACTATCCATCTAATTTTCTTCATAGTGTCCTGATTATTTCTTTCACAGCACTTAATTGTGAGCTGTGGTTATTTTATATTTATTTGTTTTCTTATTTTCTATTTCTCTATCACCTTGGAAGATGTATTAAGACAACAACTTTGTGCCCTCTTCACCACTCTCCCCACATCATTCTGAGCTATTAGAGGCATTCAGTAAATATTTCCTGAATAGATAGAGGGAGAAAAACATCATGCAAACAATGAACATTTGTGTGATCCTTGATCCTGAATTTAACCTTATAAAAGTGAACATCTAGTTGCCTACAACAAATCCTCAGCAGCTTCAGTTAAGCAAATATAGTGTAAATCATTCTACAGAAACAATTTAATTTCCATTTTTCAAGCAGTATTAGGTAGTTTGGAGTAAGCTAGTGAATGTTCCTCCATAGTAATTAAATTTTTTCTAAAATTTCAGCAGGATACTCATTAATTATTCTACTCTAGTGATTAAGTGGACTTTTCTATTAAAAGTACCAAAAGTATTTGGTTTTATTAACTACTTTGTTTGTTTGTTTTAATATTTCAGTGTTTTCATTCCTAAGACTTACAGTGATTTAGGGATTATAAATTCTGGCTTATTGTCAACAAAAGGTCAAGAAATGGAATTTTGGAGTACTGACAGGCTTGGCATGTGCTTATGAGGCTTTTCAATTCCTTGTGAATCAAAGAAATATAGTTATTGTACGATCTGACTATAGAATTGAGGCTGCCAGAGTGAGAGGAGAGAGGGAGAATAGCAAAGTGGGGAGAGAGGGGACACCGTGGACTATGGTGGAGAACTATGGGCACCTTGATGGTGGCTGTGTGGTACCCAGAACATCAACCTCTAAATCACACCATTGTTGTAAGCCAGTGTATTTCACCAGTGTATTTTACCTCAATAAATGTAAATTTAAAATAGTTCACCCTATTTTAAGTGATTATTTGTAAATGTTTTTTTTATTCAATTTTATGCTTTTTAATTTTTTTTTATTGAGGTAGTATTGCTTTACAGCACCCTTATGACTCAGATTCAGATTATCCGTTTTCACCTCTTCAGATGTGCACACTCACCTTCAAGGCACTCTCAGCCCTCCACAGTCATACATTGGACCCTTTCCTCACTTAATTCCTACCCTGCCCCTCCAGTAGCTTAATTCTACAGTTAAAGCTGTAACATTTGGTTTGGTTTGGTCTGGTTAAGAATTTTGAATTTGTTGTGTCATAAATTTATAAGTTTTTTTAAGGTCTGTTTTAATAGAGACAATAAATTTCATATTTATCAGATTTAAAATCTTTGGTTGTAAATTGGAATTTCCTCCCAATTTTCTCCAGGGCTTCATCAGAATGTTTAGCGTGGGATACTTAATCCAGTGCTGTCTCCGAATCCCCTCTGCATTTCGGCATCTGTTTACACAGCCATCCCGGCTGCTTTCTCTCTTTTACAATAAAGAAAACTTCCAGCTTGGTGCTTTTTTGGGTTCTTTTGTTAGTATATACAAGGTAAGGTTTTCAGAAGAATAAAGAAAATGGGAAATAAATAGCATGGCTGTTAATAGAATGAGATATGACCTTAACTCATCCTTTACTTTTCTAATATTTTTTCCCTGTAGTATCCATAATTAACATCACCAAGTATACACAGTATGTCAGTGTTATGAAATTGAAGAAATTTTTCTTTTTAAATGTTAGTTAATGTCCTTGAGTATGTAGACATATTGCATATGTGTCTAATTTAGATAAGATCACTAATTTGTCTGCAACTCAGCTGGTGATTCACATGTTACAGATGTTATGCGCATTTTTTTTCTAGAAGTGAACCAGTTTAAATCATTGTATTTTCTCCTTAATACAGGGTACTAGTTGCTTCCTGCGCTGGGTCAGAAACCTGGATGATGAACTGCATGCAATTATAGCTGGTAAAACAATGATATGAAATGAATTATTTCATCAATCAGCAGTAGGGATGAGCAAGGAATACTTTCCTAATTCACCTAACTTCTATGCATCTTCCACTCTGTGATCGAATAACTATAAGGCATGCTTGCCATCTAGTGTTTTGAGTATGCTATTGCCAATATAATGACTTGGCTATCTGCCTTGCTATTGGCAGAATCCTAGGGAATGTGTCATAAAATTAAAATATTGACCACTAAGTAGCTAATGGAATCATGGATATCTTAAAACATTTCTATTTTATCACTGGCAAGCAACATATTTTTTTGTTTGTTTGTTT